AAGTCTCTAATGTTTGGTACAATAGGTGCATTCTAGCCCGCTGTACGGAGCTCTTGATTTTTCTCCCGTTCATATCATTATTCATCTCAGTGTGATTTCTTACAGGTATGCCAAGTGGTAAATTAAGAGAGATTTTATAGCTAAATTAGAGTACAGTTTTTCTGAGGTACACAGAATTTTAATACAATAAATTTATTACACGGAAACATTTAAAAATTTGTCTCAGACGTCGATTACAATGTTGGGCTAAAAGTAAATATAACGAAGATAGCTGTCTTCAGGGTTGTTGGGTCCTGATGATGGAGGCAACAAGGACCTCTTAAACCTAGGTAAACTTCTACCAGACTACACATCGCTACAACCCAGAAGACAGCCATCTTCGAACCCACCGCCGCGAAAACCTCAAATCAGACTTACTACAACGAAGTAAAATGTTCACAGTTGTGATTCATGGAATATTCAAGATTGTTATGGCGTGGTTGTCTGCCAATATTTCTGACAACACTTAAATAAATACAATTAAGATGTGCACTTTTGTAGCCATCTGACATCTTTCGACTGCACTCAGATGAGAAGAATGTCGTCTTTTCGTTCTACGGACGTGTCTGGTAGCTTCTGCGTTTTGATACTGATTCTTGACCAGAAGAAGCTGAGAGCCTCTGTGAATGGGATCACGGTGGCGTGGGTGCATGCTTGAAGGAAACTGCGGGTCGCAGCACAAGAGATCTTGCACACCCTGAGGCACGGGGCGACACACCAGATGTGCTACAACAACCGCCAAGAAATGTCCTCAAACACTGACTTGCCTAGTCTCTTTCCCGGAGCCATAACATCGGGCATCAGCTCTCCGTTATGGAACTGATCCATTCTTTAATTACTGGTACTTTAGTGCAGTGACAACAATGTGAAATGTGTTGGTGCTACGTGACAGCGGACAAAATGACAAGCCTGCCAACAATACATTTTCTGCAAGCCAAGGGATATTTTTAATTACTGGATTATTTAAACACGCGATTTAACCGAATGTAAAATGAATATGAATGGTAAACGAAAAGCTGGACTCAGCCTCCTATCCAATGGTACCGTGGTTCCTTTCCCAGGCGGTAATTCTCTGGATTGCTTCCGCTGTGGCTAGTTCATGTAAGATTTGTGTTGGACATAGCGGCATTGAAGGTGGTACCGATATTTATGAAATGGCTGGATTTGGAAACCACTTCAGATAACCCCATTCGCGTCATTCGCAAAGACCAGAGGTGCATTTCGTAACTTGTAAATGATACGTTCTGTTCGTATAAGTTGTTACAACCTCGCGGCCTCCAAAACCTCCACATAGTAAACTAGAATTATTTAGCATTGTGCTTAAATGAGGTGTTGGTTGATTTAACAGCACGGCCTGTACTTGTAATAGGTTTGGGGCTGCGGTCAGTTGATACAAATTGCGTGACTTTACGGGAGTGCCCATTTGAGGTGAATTATTAGTAAAGTAATGCAGAACACGATGTTCATGTTTGTCGTGCAGCTGATGTCAAGCGACTGAGGCAGGACGTGACCCAGACATTGAACTTATGAACCTCTGAACTACGATTTTCCATGGCGTTCATCCGAACCGTTGATGACTATCTACACGGCACACCACGCCAAACACACAAAACCACAATCAGGAAGATATATCGAAAGGTAGAATTTCTCGATGTATTTCGTCATATATTTCTTTATATAGTTCATTACCTCCTTTCCCTCTTTTCGTCATGTATTTTTTCGAGAATTTTATTTCTTTCAATTTTGCTTTTCCCCTCTCTTTCTTCCTTTAATTATCCCCTAGTTTTTTAAATTTCTCGTTCTTTTTTATAGTTGATCTTTCTGTGAAAGGACTATTCCTTCAAAAGCCGATTACTGTACTCCGCAAAATATCTCCGAGCTTCGATGACATTGACAAAAAAAACACGCTGGTAGCCAGTCAGTCAAGGTGAGGAGAGGGAAGGGAAGCAATGGGGCAAAAGTTGTTTGTTATGAAGCTCCTCGTTTGTGCAATTGCCCTTTGTTCTATATCTGAGTTTCAAATATTTTCAGATACTTACATGGCTTGAGTGCAAAAAATCGAAGCGATCTAAACTGATATATCAAAATATTACGTCGAGTGCGTGCGTAAGCGTGTAGTCTATACAAAGATTTTCAGGCGCGGAGGAAAGCATGAACATTTTGGCAATTAAGTTTACAGAATGTCCCCAAAAGATGTATACACACAGGGTTAATATTCCATATGACAATGTGTATACACTTTTGGGGGACACCTATATTTTATATCATAATTCATTTCCATGATGAATAATCACAAGTCACAACAGGAAACGCGCATAACAAAGGCTACGCGATTAAAATATCTTGAAAACTAAAGTGATACAGCGCGATAGCGACTAGTATGTTAACAATCGAGGTTTGGCTGACATACTGACCTGTAAGGTCATGAAGTTCCACCTCTCCCTAAGCATTCACAATATCGCGCATCTTCTAAGTGCGCCTGCGCAGACGGCTATCGTAAGACTGGAGTACAACAGAACAATGATTTTTCGTATTACGTTTATCAAAGTGTTAACCTGGCTAACACGGCTAACATAAAACTCCGCCCCTGGGGTCAAATATAAAACAAATTAACAAAATATAAATCGAAAATTGATTATGGTATTTGGAGACAACTACAATTTAAAAATACTCATATTTCGTAGTATTTAAAAATATTAATTATGAGTTACAAATTCAAATCGTTCTGGAACCGGACAGGTCCATGCACACCTACATTTAATTCAGTCGGTGTCCTAAGATACTAAAAGCCAGTTCTTCTTCTTAAAGTAATACTGGTGCTCGAAGGTGTCCCAGATCTGGAGTTTATATAACTGTCCCACATTTCTTTAACAGCATGTAACCGATTCAGTTCATTAAAAATTAAAACGTGTGTAACATTTTCGTAAGTGGAGCAAGGATACGAAATTGTACAGAATACGCACCAGTGTCTGACTCGGTCATCTGAATTAATAAAGTGCTATGAAACCTATGTATATAGACGTACTCACAGCTTTAATAGCATATCAACTGAGAAATATCGATTGGTAAATATTACCATGTGGTCAAAAGAAGGCAATTACTGCGTGTTATCGAACGTTCTCTTACACTTCACTAATAATTAACTGGATTCTCGTTGAATTTGAGGATTTCGCGGCGATGTAAATAAATGGTAGTCTTCTGGGTTGTTGTGCCATGTAGCATTTTGACTGGTGCCTTGAAATGGCTTTTTCATATTGACCTCTCCTCCTCACCCCATGACCCCCACTGCTCTCGTCTGATCCTTCTCCTAACTTCAGCCCTGAGTGTGGAGGCAGTATGTTCCTCCGAAACGTTGGCATACAGCTAAAATACTACATGGCGGAACAACCCAGGAGACCGTCACGCAACTGGGTTCTTATTTTTGGTGTCAACAAAATAAAGCAATGTACCTACTTCAATTTATTACGTGTTACAAGGAAGAGTGCCTGAACAAAATATGGAGTCCTGCATAATACTACTATTCAGGTGTAAATGTTTCGACATGAGTCTGGATTGGCCAGGAGAAGGGACGATAATTTCTGTTGTCCAGTACGTTCAAACCAGATCCGGGGACGAACCACATAATATCCAGAGGACGAAGGATCTTCTCCATTGGGGGTAAAGTGGCTTAAGGAGCATGATGATAAGTCATATCCGTAGGAAGGTCTACAACATCCGATCCTGACGCTCCGTTAGAATGGGCTTCTTCGTGACGCCTCGTAGTTCACATCTCGCGCGTCGCGATGTTGTTGGGAACTTTATATAAATTTGTGCCACCATACATGCTTCGTGGACAAATGCGTAGAAATTACGACATGCAATAAGGATGCAACATAAAAATATTACATGCATTTGCTTTGTTACCTCAAATGCAAGGCACGCGAAGGTACATCCAAGACACAGGGCTGTTAGAGGAGCTAGCAGGATGGAGAGAAATATATAGCAAACGTTTCTCGAACTTCGAAAGCACCAGGAACTGAGTCGCCAACCGCAACGCAAACTACGAATTCCTTCCGGTTCTCCAACCACATCGTCCCACTGCACCTAAAGTAACGCAACACAGAATTTGCACCGTCTTAGAGTAAAGCATATACATCGAGGGTGACTGAGAACAAAGCGCTGGGTGTGGGTTGTTACTAGGGTTACGTCTTAAGTAGAACACACTGTAAAGAATTTGAGACTTTCGAGGAACCAGTCACATCAGAACCCTGAAGATGGGGACAGAGTTTGTTCCCGAAACGTCGGTTTACTACGGTAACCAGCTAACGCGGCTGATTGCCCGAGAAGATTCTATTGAGAACACACTATTTTTCCTCATCGGGATCAACGTCCATATCGACATCACCGTAAAAATCTCAAATCTTATAGTGCTCTAAAATGCAATTGAAAGTCGCTCGATTACCTGCAGATGTTGATTTAGATTGTTTGGATCCCGATCCTCGTCGTCCATCGTGTTACCTCCCATCGGTCTGCAAACTTCTCCACAACTGGCACAACAAAGTCCTGCAACATGATGCATCATGTCACACACTTACTACCACAACGGGCGAGGTCTCGCGGCATTCTACACAGGTGCGCTACCAAAATTGATTTCTACCGAAGGGCAGGTAATCGAATGAATATTAGAAGAATACTACACCCCTCCTTCAACAGTTAAGAATTACTACAAATATCGACTTCTCTTAAATTAAGTTCACTTGACCGGAGGATATGTCATATTAATTACTCCATGTCAACGTTGGGTTAATACAGATGGAAATTTAACCTGAAATACGTCAATATCTATTGACCTGTCACGGTCACGTGTGTGACATTTCCCTAGAGACGCAAGTTTTAAAGGCGGGATGCATTTTGGAACTTCGAAGAAACGTACTTTGTAGATTACTTGCCTCACTAGCATGGGGCTACGTGTTTGTAACACGTCATCGAACAATTTTTACACGCCAAGTTATAAAGTCATCGCCGTCGTCTTGTTATTATTTACAAATTTTCTCAAAAACTACATTAATGAAATTCGCAAAGTCCTGCAAGTTCTCTCTCTTACATTTTAATATACTAGATGGCGCTATTATTGTTCTCAACTTAAAGGCGCCATGTTTCCCTTTCTAGTGGCAGCCAGTTAACAATAAACCAAGACGAGGAAAGTGAGATTTCAGGTTCTCAAGGGGGCGAGTATGAAGAATGTCTTCTGGGACGTTGCGCCGTTCAGTATTGTAGAAACTGGCCACAACAAAATCATGAACAAAAACTCACACAGGCGTTCACACTCAACGGCAATCACGCTCAACACTCACATTCTCACATGAGTTTTAGGAAGAATGCATTCCACCACTCCATTATTTCTTTGCTGCAGAGTTCTATACCTGCTGACTACCTAACCAGATGGCTTACAGAACCCGAGGGTTCATCACCGAAGTAACCAAAGCCCTCCACCTGTCCTGTCCTGGGCCAACAAAATCCAGTCGCCTGGAACTCCTATCTCCCATAGATCCTGCCTGACATTATCCTCCCATCTACGTCTAGGTCTCCCCAGAGGTCTCTTCCCTCAGGCTTCCTAACCAATATCTGGTGCACACCTCTTGTCCCATCCATGCGCGCTACATGCCCCGCCCATCTCATTCTTCTCGACTTAATCACCCTGATAATGCTGGGGGAGGAGTACAGATTTTTAAGCTCGTCATTATGCAGTTTCCTCTATACCTCATCGTCTTCTCTCCTAAACCAAAATGTCCTCCTCAACACCCTATCCTCAAACATCTGCAATCTATGTTCCTCCCTCAAAGTGAGAGACCATGTTTCACACCCATACAAAACAACAGACAGAATTATTGTTTTATATATTTTAATCTTTAGGTTCTTAGAAATCAGACGGAAAGACAAAATATTTAGAACTGAGAAGTAGCAAGCATTTCCGGAATTTAGTATCCTCCTAACTCCCTAGTAAATATCATTTTGATTTGTTATTGTTCTTCCAAATATTTGAAATTGGTCACACTTTCAAAGGATTTATCACCCACCCTAAGACAATTCTGCCCGCCTATTTGCTGACGAGATACTAACACGTACTTAGTTTTTTCTGAACAGTTCACAAATATATCCGTTCCTTAATAACATTTGTATGAGCCTAAGATATTGAGTACATTTCGTCCATGACATTCGCGTGCTGATGGAAAACTTCGTGGATAGATTAAATTTGTGGAGCGGAGGTGGGAGGTAAGACAAGATGGGGCGAAGTTCGTTCTGTAGTTTACTCATTCGCCGACAAAATCATTATCTGCTATGGTGTAATTTGAAGTTATATTTTACAACATAACATTATTTGTAAATAATTACATTTTATGATTGTTCTTGTTAATTTCTACGCGAAATTTGAGTTTTTGTTTCTAATTTAGCTTTCACACATTTGTAGATCTGGAGGATAATATCAAGATGAAACTTGGGAAAACGAACTACGAGGTTTGGAAGTCGAGCCCTTTGTCAGAATGAATAGTGTGTTTATATTAACGAAACATAATATGCGTTCACTATATAAGTTACCGAAATTACCTTAAATCCGTCTAAAATAATTTGTCTTAGGCACAACTGGAATACCCAACGCAATTTAACCCAGCCAAACTCCTAACAGTGTCAGAAGTTTCTAGGTACAACATGGGGGCACAGGCGGATACAACATCCTCATAAGACGTTAAATAATACATCTCTTGCAGGATCACATAATGCTTTGGGGCTGCGTGTAATTCTTGAAATACAGTAGTCTCCAAAGATAAAGATATTAGCGTGTATTGTCGACGAAAGTCTACACGGAGTTCTGTCGGGATTGGTATGTGCTATGAACCTTGCCCACACGCAGGGTTGAAATAAAACAGAAGCAAGCTGAAAGTGAGAGATCCAGGTCACTCAACTGCTGTGTCAATATCTGGGGTACAACGTACCTTCGTCGTATGTCAATGCTAATCCCCTGTAGGATTTCAAGCTTACGTCCAAGAAAATCTATAATATAGCAGCACATGTTGACCGTCGTATTATATCGACTGTGCCACAAACGACTAGGGGGTTTCAATCAAGAGATTGCACTCAGAAAACACAGCTCTAGAAATAATTCCGTAAAAGTTACGGAGTGCAACAGTTATTTGCCCAAAACTGTTCAACAAATTTGGGTGAACTTTGGTACTGGTAGTTTTAAATTGTGACGTAAATATAATTTCGGTCTAAATGATTAATCATAACCCCTGCTTGAAGCCGATTTGAATTAGCCCGTATAAAATTCCTTTGAAAACTAAAAAAGTCTCAAAAATCTGTTTAAAACAAAAGTGATTTTTATTTAATGAGATCTGCATTTTGTTATGACGGAGGAAGTAAGTATCTCTGAAATATCGGTAAACTCCTACCAGATAGCACAGCGCTACAAACAGCTGCGAGAACCTAAAATCTCACGTATTATTTTTTTTTATGTGAACTGACAGAAAGATGTAAGTATCGAGCGATTCATTTACACCGGCGCTCACGATTTCAGCTTGAATTAGTAAATATTAACTAAGTCAAATAATATGTTTGCTCAGGTCCACAGTCCGTAACTGATCAAGTAAACTACAAATTAAAACTGAGTGTCCCTTGATTTTATCAGCTGGGCTGAGTTGAACTTTACACTCTCAGTATACAAATATACGTATTCTATAACCGGCTGCGAATGCACGGGTTAACTATACATGTAGATGTGTAGAAACCTAAAGAAAATCGAGTTCTACTGAATATTTTAACACCAATTAAGGTAATGAAAACCCTAGAATGCCTGGCCCATTATATTTCATTCGTGTACAAACAATTTTGAACAATGAGAATGGTACTTACAGACACACGAATGTTGTCCTTGATAAGAGGAGACGCACCTTGGGTTTGTGCGTTAAGGAGTCGAACTTGCGAGACTGTCCAGGTCGATTCAACAAGTAATCTGATATGAAATACTTTGCATGGTTTGTGTTCACGGCAACATGCAATGAACATGGAGTCCAAAGCCTGCAAGCAACTATCGACCCATTCTACGAAAGGTTAAGTGGGCTATACAAACGGATGCCTTGCGAATTATTACAAGTTATGCAAAATTATGAGAATAACGCAACGTTATTAAGGTTAAACAATTGATTGGCCAGTAAGTCAGCTGAGCACTATTTAAAAAGACGTATAGAAGGTACACGGTTCTATTCTAGGCCACGGTTTTGGCCGCAGTGATGAGGTTATTGAACTACCAAAATGTCGGTAGTCTAGTCAAAATAAATATTGCTTAACATAGGCTTCGACCACTTTCTTTCAAATGCTTACCTACTCATCATTATCACTTGTATAAACCCTACAGACAAAACAACATCGTTACATAATCGATAAACATCGAAAGTGGACCACTGCCATTACGATACAAGACTTTCTTTCTGGTGGGATTCAACGGTATCTCACAAAGCCTAAAACATAATGATTGAAATTATTATTAATCGAATACAGGCAGTTGGTTTCAAGACACGCAACACACATCAGACAATGAAAGTCAGCTGAACTTCAAATGCTTATAAAAGGAATTGCTAAATGGCCAAGTCCACCTATGAGCACTCTGATTGGCCGAAATTGGGTGCCGCGTGACATCATAAACGTTGTCACTAATAGAAACAATGGGATCCTATGGGCGGAAAATCATTAATCAGTGGCATTGTAAAATAAGGGGCCACTAATTTTCATACCCCATCTTAGTATATTTTGCTGCTAACTTTCATTACCCAGTTGAAATAAGATCCAGAATACCGATCACAGTATGACAATAAGTTTTCTTACCTGTTTCGTACCAGGCAGTCTTCTTGAAGTACTCTCCGCCTACACTCGCCCCATCCCCGCAGAATAGAATTTTATAGGATGGGTTCGCAGTCATTGCAGACATCAAGCAATACTGAAAATTCCTGGTCTAATTTGAACTGACCTTGAAGGCTCGATGAGAAATTTATTTCCACCCATGGCAATACAGGAGGTAGGGATAGGTCAGACATGAGAAAAGGAAACATCACGGCACGGGCCGACTTTAATCACGTTTAATTTATTTGTAATTCTATTGTATCTCAGATTGATTATGAATGTCTGTGACACGAAAATGTAGAACAATTAAAACCATAATAAATAGTTTATACAAGGAACACCATTATAATCAAACCTCATTGTTTCGAGTCTTTCGTTGTACAAGTGTAATTCATACTCGGCTGCTTAACGAAAATAAGTTGGGGGGACGGGGGGTTTCTGTTGTTATTAAATCAAGATGTTAAGACCTCAATCATATTTTTCATATGTCAAGAAACTATTTAAAAAGTAGAAAAAATAATAAAATTCCCTGACGTATGAAGATTTTTTGCATGTAAAACTTGGTAGCTGTTGAACATAAATGCCATAGATGAAAGACGTATCTCTGCAAGACAATGATCCGAATAACACAAAAACCATAACTCGTGATATATCTTTAAAACAGCCAATGTTAATAATCAAATAATCCCCAGAAATTTACATTACTCCTGCCGCAAGAATTTCAATATCAACCCTTACAAATGTGTTGAGTGTAAGGCGGATCACTAGCAGCAATGGCACTTGGACGTCCACCCAAGTGACGATATTCCCACTCAGCAGCTCCCCAGCCTACAATGCCATTAACTGTGAAGCGTGCCATATGTTCAATTATACGTGCTTCCCATTCCCAGCCCATAAAGAACTCTGTAGACTCTATAGCATTAACTTGAACGTGATACTTTTCACCACCTGCGGAAAAGAAAAACACAATAATACCAACAACATTAAAACCCTAATTTGAATCCTTCTTCAGTTTTAATAACCAAAGTCAAACCATAAAAATACTAATTCAATCTTCGAATAGTTACACATTATCTCACATTTGTTATATATGTTCAACTAAAATACCGTAAAATCATAATAATCAAAAACTAACCTAACCTAACCTCACTGAATTCAGTTGAATAACTTCAGCTTCAACACAGTGAGCAGAGTGATGTGGTGATAAAAGTCTACACTTTTATTCAACAGGTACATGCCTCATCTCAATCTCTCGTTGCAAATTCTGGAATTAACCCCCCCCAAATCCTCTTTACTCACTATGTATGTCTTTAATCACTGAAATTGACTAATACGTATAAGAAGCAGCCAGTTTCAGACCCCTTTTTTTAAAATATCAGGACAGTCAAAATAAACTTCAATGAGAAAATAAGTGCAGTTCACTAAGATTCACAGCTGATAACTTCCGCTTGTTACATACAACAGAGTTTAAATGGTTCCCTGATTATCGTCAGATATCAAAAGTTGATGATTTTTGCAAAAACAATATTATTATCTTCTTCTTCGATGATGTGTTCACTCATCTATGGGTCATCACACGAAACATTTTTACAGAGCTCTTTGTCAGCTGTGTTATAAATGGGTATATCAAACCCTTCCTGTCCCAATACTAATATTACTAATTGTGTACAGGTGTTTTTATTATTTTTTTATGGGCTATATCTTATTTTATGCTGAGTTACATATGCATAAAAACTTTTCCCTCCACTCATTTGTTTCCAGATATTTTAACATTCCTCAGGGCAATTACTCACCAATGTACATTTCACATGTCAAAAACCCTGTATACTGAATCTCTCACATATATTATTTAATGAAGTTACACTAGAAAGAAACTTACCAGCTTGAAAGAAGAAGCTATAGTCAAGAGGAGGTCTTCCATTCTCACCATGACGTTCAAGTTTTAAGTCGCACCACTGAATTGGCACAAGAGTGCCATCTGGCTTGTACATGTACCCCAACTCCAGTCTGCATGGAAAATTAATTCATATTTTTGCTTATAAACTTTAGAACAAAGTTCTGAAAACATTTTAAGATGTAGGCCACATTCATCCTTTCTTAGCAACTTACAGGCAGCGTGGTTATAAATGACTACAAGCGATTAACACTTGATGACAATTTATTATCCTTTATCATGGAGGAATAGGAGATTTAAACCCTCATGCTATGGGGTTGTTGCTGGCTGGACTTTAACCTCGGGTTAATTATGTAATGGTAGCTGGCAGTAGCATAGCTACTGGTAGGACCTCCCTAGCCAGATTGGTCGAGGGGGAGAGGTCAGACTAAGACAGGTACCCTGGTCCTCCAGGTTGGGGGTTGGTCGCAAGGCTAACAACCTTGCACCGTAAAAAGGAAGATGTTTCGAAACCTCAATCAAAGCCTCGGATAAACGGACCTAACAGAGGACCGAATGGAAGAGGAGAATTGAGGAGGTCATGGACCGAATACAAACCGGAAAGCCATAGAAGAAGCTACTGTGTCACCAGTTAAATTGCATGTAAGTTACTACAAATAGATATTTTGGACAGATATGATGAAGCTGAAGATTACTGTCATGTGTAATAGGATTCATAATTTCCTGGCAGGGCAGTTTATTAACTCCTTTTTTTAATTTTAAGCACAAACTAGGAAGTCACAACAAACAAGACATACAGAATGTCAATAGGCAAATCTCTTGGAAAGTGACCACTTAAAAGATACCAGAGACAGAAGGTTTATACATGGACTTTAGAAACAAACGGCCATGTGTACTCATTTTTTTATTTCATATAATATGTCATCAGCAAACTATACTTAACTTAGTTCCTGTAACTCCTAAGTCTTTAAAGAGTGCACTTAAGAGTAGTGAGTGACCAGCCCACTGACTGCACAATTTCTACTCAATCCTGATTTGACTGCCAGAGCCATCTAGCAGTGAAGCAGTGAATCAGGAGAGACTTGGGTGAGAAATGGCTGCTGAATTTTGCTTTCGAAACATCTCGTATCATGCTCCCAAGGTTCTTTTACATCTACGACAAGGGACCGCCGGCTTTACTTCCCCCTCCTAAGAAAGTTGTGCTACGGATTTTTATCACCCTTAAAAATCCATCGACCTTGGCCGGGATTGAACCCGCGAACCTTGGGTCCAGTAGCAAGCATGCTAACCACTAGCCCACCAGTATAAATAATATTAATGTTAGTAGATATAAGAAGTAAATTACCTCTAATATGAATTCAAACCATGCATTTACTATTGTTTATAGAAGCATCATATTTACCTTGAAAAAACCAGTGGTACACATACGACACTGGCATTAATTCTTGCTCCATTTTCCAAAGTAATAAAATGAAGAGCGTAACGATGGAAATTGCACCATTCACGCTTGTGTCCATAACTGTGGTCCCTGAATCCATCAAGATGGACTGGATACTTGTTACCATTGATCTCTACATGACCTTTAAGAGACCCATATTGCTCGTAGTGGGACTGATGAAATCTGAAGGGGGAAACAAACAACTAATTTTTCATATGGCAGAGAATTGTTAACTCCTTCACAGTAAGTTTTTCACTAAACAGCTTATCCTCAAGCATCTAATCTTTACAGTGTTCTGAAAAGATTCAACATCTCCTACACTTTCACATTCATGTTGCAACTATTTGCTGACCATTCACCATCTTCTAGAGCCAAAGTTATGAAGTAATGTGTTCAAGCATTTGGATAATTTGTTGTTGATTTAGAATTAATAGCTTACAATGTGGTAACTTAATGATGCATTTACCCCTATTAACTAATGTCACATAAGAGGTCAAGAAAATTGTCTGATCTGACCATAACAGCCAGTTGCACTGTAACATTAGGGAGACGTGCCAATTCCACGTGCAGAACTCTATGTAGCGACCATAAATGGGAAATAATATTGCCACAGAAATCACAGGTTTTTACATATCTTCTTCTTCTTCTTCTACAGCTCTCTGGTCCATATTCGGTCCATGGCCTCCTCAATTCTCCTCTTCCATTCGGTCCTCTGTTAGGTCCGTCTATCCGAGGCTTTGATTGAGGTTTCGAAATATCTTCCTTTTTACGGTGCAAGGTTGTTAGCCTTGCGACCAACCCCCAACCTAGAGGACCAGGGTACCTGTCTTAGTATGACCTCTCCCCCTCGACCAATCTGGCTAGGGAGGCCCTACCAGTAGCTATGCTACAGCCAGCATACATATAACAATTTTAAAACACATTTAGAATTTAAAACAAATGTAAATCCACTGACTTACTCTTTGAGAGTGTTGAAATATTCCCGGTTCCATGGTTCTAGTGCTATGGCTCTAGCCACAGGAAGTGCATCCATATCTGTATCATAGTCAAAATATGGTAACGATGAAGTAAATTCTATATGTAGTGCCACATCATATAACTTCTCTGGGTTTCCATGCAACCTGTATTGAAATTTTAATCTCTGTTTAATAACTGATGAGAGGTCCATGTATTGACCAACATGAAAGATACCATAAAAGAAATTGGCCAACACAGATACTGAGGGGTAGGGGTACATTTTCCATCTATTGGCACAGCCCTAATGAAAAAGATGTCAAAGAAACAAAGACACTAACATTTTAGTTACAATAGATATAGTCACAGATACTGTAATTTTGTTTATCTTTGCAATTACTTTTGTGGGGGTACGCAGTGGCCACGCGGTCTGAGGTGTGGACCTTGTGCCGCTTGGTCACTGGGACCGCGGGTTCGAATCCAACTCAAACCATGGACGTTTGTCCGCATTTTGTGTGTTGTGCTGTCCTGTGTACAGGTAGAGGCCTTGTGACGGGCCTATCCCTCGTCCAAGGAGTCCTACCGAATGTCCATAGATCGAGCCAACGAAAATTTGGGACCCGCAGTGCTCAGGCACTTGAAGAACGGGTCGTTCCCAGTATCCCAGTATTACTTTTGTGATGGTGCAAAGAATAAGTGACGGGTGGTGAGGGATGCAAAAAACAACAACAATGAAATGGCTGACAAGGTATTATCATAAGCAACTTTTTACAAACTGTCATTTGATATTTATAATTAATTTAAACAATTCTAATGTCTAATAGCTTTCTTTCCTCATACTATACACACACACATTTCAATTGTTTATAAACAACTGATTCTTTATACTGAAGGTACATTTAAGAGATAAAACATTAAAATACTGCATACCTTACAATTGACTAACTGCTGGGTTTAATCTACCTAGTTACAAATTGGTTATTCATTGCTGTTTAAGGATGATGGAGGTTAAAACTGATTCCTGAATGACGAAGGATAATGTGAACGTGTGGCTAGACTGTCTGCTTCAATATTTTTTCTATTAAGCTCTGACATTGCTCATAATCACTTACTTCATTTTGCCATCATATTTTATGCTCCAGGACTTCATAGGTTTCAGAGGTTTAATCTGAATACCTTCTGCACCATAGTACTCTCCATCCTCTTCAGTGCGAAATGTAAGTGTATCTGGAACTTTGGGTGTCATGAGTAGTCCAATATCAGGCACCTGTAACAAATACAATACAATAAATGGTTTTAACAATCAACTGTTTACTTTGGAAATAACAAGAAATTTGAGATTCATTTACACTAATATCAGGTACCTGTTACAAATTAAATAACTGATGTTACAAGTTTAATTCTGTAAACTTTCCACACAGGGATTCATGAAATAAATTATGAATCCAACCTCTAAATTCCATGCATCAAATGTAAATGTTACACATTTTAAGTCAGATGTATACTCCTTCTTCTATGGCCTCCTCAATTCTCCTCTTCCATTTGGTACTCTGTTAGGTCCGTCTGTCCGAGGCTTTGATTGAGGTTTCAAAACATCTTCCTTTTTACCGTGCAAGGTTGTTAGCCTTGCGACCAACCCCCAACCTGGAGGACCAGGGTACCTGTCTTAGTCTGACCTCTCCCCCTCGACCAATCTGTATGCTACTCTGATACTAATGGCTTATGAGATAAATATGGCCTTGGGAAAATCAAATTTTGGGGTCATTGATTCAAATACTGTCTAGGGCATGGACATTTCTGTATATTTTTCATCACTACCACTTGTCCTGTTCATCCCCATACATCCCACACTTTGAAGGTTCTGCAATGTGCTAGTCTCAAAATACTAATATAAAAACTGGCTTAAGAATCTATGAAGTGTTTCTCAGTATTGAGAAAACCAAGGAATCAGAAAGACCAAATGCAGTGTTTGTGATTAATACTGCTTTATATTCCGCAAGTTCTGGGTTTGAGTCCTTCCTCCAGTAACTGACTTTCTTAACTGAGGATTTTTTTGCAATAAATCCAAGTAAATGCTAATATATTACTTCAAAACAGGCCATGACCACTTCCACGTACATTCTTCCCAGTTCATTATTCAGTCATTCTGTTTCTAGGCTATACAAACCATGCAGCTGAGATAGTGTCATTACACAAAATGAGAACAGAGAGCCAGGAAAAAATGTTTTAATAAGAACAAATTATAAAACTTCTGTATTTCACTCACCCTTAAATACATGAAGCCATTTACAACACCACGTGGTCGACGGGCAGTTCCAACAACCAGGTGGTATCCATCAGAGCTTGCTGCATTGAAGTATGAAGCATCAATTGCCTATTGATGGATGTTAACAGACAATTAATTCTGCTTTACATTTTATTTACAATTTTGCTGAAGTACGAATTTTCTTGCATAGTGAAACAAGATTTTACGATATTAAGCTACTATTACTGGAAAAGTTGAAATATATTTCACTATTAGACTCCTATGTAATTTATGAAAGAGACCCAAATATGGCCTCGCCTATTGAAAGTAAATATCAAATTTTAAAGTAAAGAAATTTGAAATTTAAGGTTAAGATCCTCAACCCTAGATGTTTTAATAGCTACCCTGTTAGTACCTCTGCACATGCGTACTCACACACATGCACATCGGTAAGACAAGAAGGAAGGCGGTAAGAAATAAATAATATTTTTAAGATTTATCTGTTGCATAACTTCATAAATATCTCTTGAATGATGCTGGTTATGCTTTCAAATCACAACTTCAGATGGCAGTAATACTGGCACTGACATGACCTCCTCTCGTATGACATTCACATTAACTGAATTCAAGGAACTTTTCAAAGAATTACTAGAGGAAGTAAGCAGCCAGCATGAATTGCTGTATGTTTACTTTTCCATCTGGAGATAGAACATTTTTGTATCAACACAACCTGAAAATTGTGAACACCTTTCTGATCATTTTATGTAATATGATTGACAATGCCTGTTCTCCATTTGGGTTTCTCTTAAAAAGAAACTGCACTGTAACAATTGAATTGCTTAACATGACAACCTTATGAATATGCATTCGTCAGCCAAAAACCAGATACTGTAATGCAGCAAAATATGACATCACATGGAGAAAAGTGATGATTGCTTCATGCATTAAATAGCTGTCACAAAAATAAATAGCAGTGGACACTGGTCAATCTATGTGTCATAAAAAATCAGTTACATCCATCTATAACCAGACCAGAGTTGGAAAAATGGAGACAGAAAAACTGGAAAAACATTATATTATGAAACACACACAATTTAAAGCGATTGATTTCTAACCTGATGTGGTCAGTTCTGTTGAAGCTGCCACATGTAGGAATAATTCACTGGTTCATATTCCTTGTAACCAATTTTGAGTTATCTACAACTACTCTTCTTTTTACCTTCGGATGGTCAGCTAATGGCTGCTGTTTATCCATATCTTCTGGTGAAGATCGAGCCTTGAAGCCATAGCCTGCATCCCTTGAATCCCGAACCTGTTTCCATTGCAATAAATTGATAATCTGCAATGAATAAAACGGTGCTGTATGGTGTTCATTGCTACCATGCTCGAGTTTCCATTCATATTACTAAAGTAATTTCCAACTGCATTCAGAATTCTGCTTATTCTGTAAAGGCAAAGCATATGTAAAGTTGCCTGTGAACCTAAGCGTCATGCTACAGAGGTATATATGAGTTGCAAAAGTAGACCGTGGGCACTAAATACTTGTGAGTTGTATGCTTTATCCCCAGGGAAATACTATTCAGTACTGAATGAACTAACACCTGTGAGGACCCCTTTCTCCGACAGGGATTTAAACCTCAATATTCAGTTCACAATAAGCCACTTAAAAACTATTCCAGATGTTTATTCTACAGCTTCATAATATGGCATATTCTTTATTCTGCCTTACAGCCATACATAAATCCTTGTAAGACACCACAAAAATTTCTTGTTAGAAAAGATATATATATATATATGTTTGCCTGTAAAGTGATTAAGTGAAGTATCTTGATGTAAAAAAAGGGCAATCCATGAGACTGTTATCTTCATACTTGCTGCCATGAGAACCTGAAATTTCATTTTGTAAACTTCTGTTTGTCCTTCAAATTGAGAAAGCCAAGCAACTCAGTGTCCTGATGATGGAGGCAGTACAAACCCCCAAAACATGATAACTACCATGAAACTACAAAGTGCAATATATCCAAAGGCTTTCATCTTTATTATATAATAAAATAAATAGAAACAAAAATAATAATACAAGATTTGACCTTCAAATAAAACTTTGTTTTCGGAAGCAAACTGATAATGCAACATAAGTTTCTTCATGAACCATTGTTTCTGAGCAAGGGAATTTCAGATAAAGAGGACTTCATTATGTCAGTTCATTTACTCCTGGTCACTGAACATTCGTAAGAACACTGATGACTGATTTCACTCAGTTTTATTATCATATTTTTTACATTATGCATATGAGCTGGCATAGCTCAGTCAGTATAGTGACTGGCTATGGACTGTACGACTGGGGTTTGATCTCCGACGGGGGCAGAGGATTTTTCCTCTAGGGCCCTCCCAGCATCCTCTACAATGGGTACCAGGGTCCTTTCCCGGGGGTAAAGCCGGCTGGGGCGTAATGCTGACCACTAACCCCCATCTAGTGCTGAGGTCAAGAAAGAGAGGAGCTATACCTCCATTCACCCCAAGCGCCTGTACTGCACGTAGTGGGACAAACTTTACTTTACTTACACTTGCACAGTTTACTTGCTGCAGGATATTACATAATAGGAACTCCATGATTTACAAAGGTTATCTAGTATTGTCAGGTCAGTGAAATATGAGGCCATGTATTAAGTACAACAGAGGTGAGGAATGTATGTACAGAACTTCGTGGGGAAACCAATCAGAACACTGAGGAGATGGAACCGAGTCAGGACTGTGTATAATGGAAATACTGAATCTTCTGATCAGTTACGTAATAATAATCTATATATTATTTTTGTACACAGTGTAGGATTTTACTGCCTTTCTCAGAGAGATGCTAATTTTCTTTGACATGCACGGCACATACAAATACTTGTTAATTAAATCAAATGAATCATATGTTTATGTATAAACATTACCTTCCTTGCCTTTAACATTACAAAAAATACTGCTAATTTCAAGAAATACCACTTTCCAGGTTTCTGATATATTCCAAATGTAGCTGGTTCATTTCCCTTCTGAAAAAACTTAATCACCACTACTGTGAAGACAGCAAGGCTTATGTACACCAACATGCTTGAACTAAGCAGCAAAGCAACCAACACAAGTGTTTCAAGCCAGTTACTCAAAACTTATCTATGAGCTTAAATAACAATGATAAGATAAATAAAGGTTTCAAACTACTTACTGTTTTTAAACTTCTGTCTCACTCTTCTTGTCAGTACTAGGATGCAATTACAAAAGATAAGTAAAAGTGCTATTCTGGACCCCAGCCAGCTTCCATTCCATTGGGGACTGCTATTTCCCCATGGGTAAAATGGCTGATGGCTCCACTCCACACATCTTACATGCCTTCATGATACGGTGTTCATACAAGGGCAACTTTACCTCTATCTATATCTGAAAGGAACTAAGGAATGGAACATATGAACACACAGGATACAGACAGCAAGACAGGATGAACACAACCCTGATTATTTGACAAATAAAGCCTTTTATTATATTAGCATGTCTTGAAATTGGAATAAGTTCACTGTCACAGTCGACTGACACACCATTAAACGGCTGTACAAATGTACGGGGAATGAATTCACTTTTCTTAACATGTAGTGAGACTATAACAGATCATTCTAGGAACACTTGGACATTGGGAACTGCAGCATTCAGACCCACCAGTATGTACATAGCTATATACAGTATAAAACACTCAGAAGGAAAATGACAAAAAAAATGCATCTTCCTAAAATAAATTCACTGACCTGGTATCATTTCCCAACTTGATTGTTAACACCAATATAAAAAGCTGAATTGTACTTTTTATACAATGAACTGTATATCAAATATGTTACGTGAAGATATCTTGTCACATTGCTTAATAAACTCTAATATCAGAGCTAAGATGTAGGCAGGATTCAAGAGATGGTTCACAATGATGTACGTTTAGAATGTGTTCCCACTACACTTCGACTGTCGCTAGTTCAGAATGCGAGTCTCGCTATGGAATACAGACTGCATTTGTACTTGTACTCTCTTAATTCAAATGGAAATGAAGTTAAGATCAGGTTCCAGTTCCATCGAAAACAGCGAAGAAAAAATTCTACCATAATGAAAGAACAAGAATACTAGGCAAACATAAATCACACATACTTTGTACTGAGTAAATGAAATTATGTTCTTATTTCGTGGAAAGTAAGAAGTTTACATCTAAACATCTCTGGTTCTCCAATCATTACTGATAAGGAATTATGTAGTCAATCATCTAACATAAGACTACAGTGATGTTGGTTAACTTACATCTGAATATGAACATGAGAAAACGATGCTACATCATCAATTTCCACGGCTGTCATAGCCAGTCAGGCCCACATTCCCCTCCTTAGCACTTCCACCCCTTTATTGAGCCAAAACGTTGTCACACACCAGCATTCCTGGACTAGAAACTACAAGATTTTTTAACTGCAACAAATGACTAATAAAGTACAGTCGGTGTGAGACACCTAGTTCACCGATACACGCAACCCAGTGCACAGATTATGAGTTGTGACAACACTAACAAAACATAAAGACATTGTGTGTTTCATATATAGATATATATATATTTTTTGTATGCGATGGAGGTGTCCTAATTGTCAAATCATGGGACGTATGAAAACCTGGATTCCCTTAAGAGATTCACAACATCACACACAATGCCATCCAAAACACAAAAACCAAAGTGACTACACAAAGATATACATACGTACAAATGCAACACTAAGGTTAAATGCACCAATGGACAACTATTTCTGTTGAACAACATATTTGGTTTCTTCCCAAACATCACCCATTTTTGACATCGTTGTCAACTTTCCACATGTCTGCACTTGTCACGTAAGATAATGCTTTATGGTCCACATGACTTCCTGGCATCAAGAAATTCTGAACACTTTTTAAAAAACTGTTATATTAATATTTTTTTGGCAAATAGCCATGCTTTAACACATGGTCTTTGTCCCTCACTGAATTAAGTCTTCTATTAACCTATAATATATCACCAGAAAAAACACATTGCCCAAGAACACCTTAAGCAAGTGCATCACGTCCACCTATTCCTGCCTCCATGCCTTCTGGAGGCACCCGTACACTCCCGTTTCCTTGGCCCGGCCCATTTCCATTGCCGACAAACCCATTGATGTGACCATTTGCTGTAAGGTACAAATCTGGGGGGGCAGGCGTGGGGGCAGGCGGTGGAGGGGGGATCGTGTTTGTCACACTGCTAGCCACTGCCTCCAGGGCACGGTAGAGAAGGAGATAATCATCCTGCAACAACAAAACAATTCCAATTATTTGTCTTCAAGATGAAGCAAAGCAGTAAGGAACTACAGAGACAGACAAAACTAATTAAGCTACATGAGCTTTGGATATGTCAAACTGAGGAATTTGTGAACCATAGCCAGATACTTCCTGTGCTGTCTGTCCGAACTTATGTGTCTATGGAATGTTTCTCTGAACTGCATTTTTCGCAGTCATTACAATTTGGTGCTTTCCCCCCCTTTAACTAAATTTGATTTTGATTGCATAACTGTATGTGTAAATGAAACCTGTAAGTTTTAGTTGTATTTTTCTGGACCTCCAAATTTAACACATCACAGTGCATAGCCCCTGGTATACCCTAAAAACTGAGACTTCCTCATTTGTTAAATTTTTGTCAGAAATACTGCATCATACCTATTGCGTAGCAGAAAGCAAAGATAATATCTTTCACAAACATGACGCATCTAAACTACAAACTCGATAATACCTTTGTTTAAAAAGGGGAAGAGGAACAGCTGTGAGAACTACCTGGGCTTTAGTTTACTAGCCACTAGCTATAAAATATATGCAGAAATATTAAATAAGAGGCTTATGAAAATCTCAGATATCATAATGTTGGAAGAACAGAATGGTTTTAGAAAGGGACGATTTTTATCATTTGTCAAATCACAGAAAAACACAGGGAATTTAATCTTGAGACACAAATTGCTTTTATTGACTATGAAAAGGCTTTTGACAGAGTAAACTGTGCAACACTCTGGCAAATTATGGAGAGGTAAGGCTACCCACAACATTTAATAAGTGCCATTAGGTCTCTATACCAAAATACTACAATAATTTCAGATATAAAAGGAAGTTATTCAAAAGATATTAAAATTAACCATGGAGTATGTCTGTCTCCAACCTTATTCAACATCTACTTAGATGATGTCATCCGAGAATGGAAGACGAGAAGCAATCCCCTTAAATAACATAAGCAAAAACTACAATTTGAAGACATCAATAAATAAAACTAAAACAATGACTTTTAAAGGGAAATATCCAGTTTTAACAAAAATTGTAATAGATGATAAAACTTTAAATATCTAGGCTATGACATAACATTACTGGAGGAAACAGACATAGATAACAAGATTAAAACTTCGAAAATATGTGTGGCACTATCAGGCAAACACTTGAAGGGAAAACTCGGAAAGATACACAAATAAAATTTTATCAAGTAATGGCTGTTCGTGCAGTACTATATGGAAATGAATGTTGGACAGTGAGGAAAAGAGACATACAAAAATTACAAACAGCATTAATGTGATTTTTAAGATCTGTAAAGGGATGAACTAGATTGAACAAAATCAGGAATTAAGATATAAGAAAAGATTTTGGAGTATTTTCAATTAATGAAAGAATAAGAAGACACAAACGAGATTGGCTAGAACATGTAGAAAGGATGGAAGTGGGACAAATACTGAAACAGGCCCTTTGGTATAGATCCAAAGAAAGAACAGATCCTGAAGACCACGCGGAAGGTTGATTTCACAGAAGCACTGCACGTACCTGACACTTCCAGATCCCTGGACGCTTGTTATGATACAGCTTGGCATACATGTATACATCCACATGATTTTCATACTCTAGCTGCTTGTTTAGTGTTGTAAGACAACAGAAAACGGCTGCTTCCGTTCCTCCATACCTACAAAATATTCCCATTCACAAACCAATCATATTATTTATGGTTTTTGAGTTAGTATGTCAAAAGTTATTTAATGATGGAGTGAAAATGGTACAATTTAAATTTGACCTTGTTTCATGTCTACTTATTAAACACAATCTGAAAATCAGCTGATAAAAATCAAATTATATTGAAAATGACAGTACATAGTTAGTACAGAGTTACAACACAATCTTCGGAATAATTTACTGTTAATTTCAAAACTAGGATTTGTCATTCAGATGTGATGTTATCAAGTATTGTCTTTATAAAATCTGCAGGCAAGCATATGTGTATAAAGTTCTGTATCAAACTAGGCAAAAGAGTTACAGAGATCTGTTAATACTCGCCTTTAGAGAGGACACAAAAGGCAGAACCTAAAATATTTGAGTGGCTTTTGAAGTTCAAATGTTGAATGACTTATACTGAAATAATAAAATTCTCTTGGGCTATCAGCCATTTCAAATGGTAATAACTTAGCAAGGTTTTACCATTTGACATGGCTGATAGCGTGTGAGGATTTTATTAATTTGGTTCACTATTAACACAGCAGCAAACTAAATCAACGAGAAATAAATTCTGAATGGTTCTGTGATAGTATAATATGTATCAGATGATGGACAAAGCCTAAAAATCAAACAATCCAGACAGCCAGAAACCATTAGACCAGTGGTATTCAACCTGGGGTACACGAAATATAAAAAAAAATATGATAAACACTGAATAATCAGTAATGTAATTTATTTAATTTATTTTAGATGTAGATTATATACTATGTATAACCTGAATTATACACCAACAATTTTGGGTGTACAAAGTTGAAGAGAAATTATATCTGGGGGTATGCGAACAAAAAAGGATGAATACCACTGCATTAGACAGTCTTCAATGTGACTTGATTAAAGCATATATGACGAACAGATACGTCATTAGCAAATGATACTTAAATTGTATTATTAAACTTTACCTGTCCATCACTATAATGGGCCCATTTTGATATTCAAGATGCCATTCCTGGACTAGGTTGATGAGTTCAAACAAGGAAATGATGGGACTACAGCTGTGTGGCCAATTAGCACAATGTATCATGTGTACTGCTAGTTCATAGTCATCCTGCAGTGACTGAAGTGTGAAATCACGTGTAATGTAGCCACCATGATCAGCTTCCTCTACAAATTTCACTCTAAAATTTTCTGCTTCCATTTCTTCATGTGCTACTGGCCAGAAAATGCCAAATTCCTGGAAAGAATAAAGCATACTATAAATGTTCTGAGACTAAACAACCAGCAGAATTCTGGCAACGTCATTCTGTTTCAGAAATATGCTTTATCAAACCTGGTCATCTAAACTGGAGAGCATGACAATAGTTTGCGCATTATGATCCCAAACCATCTGCCAGAAATCTTGTGCAGTCGCTTCAAGTGGATGCTGAGTGATTATAAATTCTCGCAACTTGTGGAAACCTGTAATAACAAAGGAGATAAAAATATTTATTTTTGTTTTCTATATTACTTCTAATTAAATGTTGAGTGAAACAGACATTAATTAGGAAAATATAAAAAACTTTAATTATACATTTAGCAGGGAAATTCAACCACGTATTATTGGCTTTGTATTTGTATTGCTGGCTGAATAAATTAAATTTAACTGATTTGAACTTATAAATGACAAGGCATTTCACCACAAACTGTACCTTGAAACCATGTAGCATTTATGTAGTTACTCCCATCAACTCCAGGTTTTGGAGTTAGATGAACCCTGCCACTTTCTATCGGTAAAAGATCTAATGTACGATTTTTCAGTTGGTTGCACGGTTTGTTGGCAGAAATCAGGTTAAAATCCTTTGGCTGGAATGATGTTACAAGCTAAAAGGAAAGAGATTAACTTATTTTATTTATATATTAAAGATAAATGCCATCATTTTCATGGAAAGACTGGGGGGGGGGAATTCTTCTATCAGAATAAGAAGAATCTAGGCACCAATATCTTGCTATCAGGCATGCTCCTATCTATAACAAAATTATATAACCATTTTAAAGTAAATACTATTTTCAATCCATCATTCCATTGACAACAATAACAACTATGACACAACAATTTTATCAAATAGTTAGTTTATTAATTTATGTAACAAAGATAACGCAACCATAACGTTTATGCAGCAAAAATATACTAAACAAATGCTTACATTATGTGGTATTACAATTCTGAGGAATTGTTTGAATTACATAACATCACAATTTTAATTCCTCAAAGACAAATAACAATATGAGAGAGAGAGAGGGGGGGGGGCAATATATTCACATCATTTATGTACCTAATAAAGGTTTAACAGAAACCTACAGCAGTACCAAAGATTAAGAATAAACATAAATCATAACATCACACTATCTGCTCCTATGAATCACACACGAAATTACCATAATATTTGTCTGCGTAGATACAAGTTCTCCTTCGTGTATTAATTTCAGTCTTCATATATAAAACACCTATGAATAATTTAGTTTCCTAACCACTTACCTTAAATTGGGTCTCAAGCATTTTCCACGGTTCTGTTTTTTCTTCGAGGGCATCGCTGGCTTGCAGACTGTGAATGTAGCGTGAAAGATAAGCTTGATTGATATTTGTCTCGCCACTCTCAATTGCTTCAAGTAGTGCGTCATGGATGAATATATACTGCTCCTCTGTCTGGACCAGGAAGTTACGTTGTGTGCGAATATGGCGCAAAAATCCAAAAATGTTCACTTCTCCCTTGCTTCTGATTTGCTTTAACATCGCGTCTAGAACTATATAGGTACCTGTTCTGCCAACACCAGCACTGAAAACAAAATTAATGTCAAATACTACATACTGTCCCATACTTAATGCTTGCATGTACTTTATTAACATGTATTGTTCGTAATATTCATATATTAGTACAAAGATTCTCAGCCAGTGATAAGAGTTATATCTCTTTAATTCCATTACTCTGTTTTAAAAAATAGATTCATGGAACAGTCAAATACTTATAAATCCATACCTGAAACTAAAATATCTCGATAAGTATAAGTTATGTACAATTTAAAAAAGAGACAATTTTTTTCACGTACATAAATTTTAAAAATGAGGAAGCACATTACTAATTTAAAGTGTTTTATCCTGTGTAGGACAGTTCAAAATATTTCGTCTTCCCATCTGATTTCTAAGAACCTGAAAATTAAAGCATACAAAACAATAATTTTGCCTGTTGTTTTGTATGGGTGCGAAACATGATCTCTCACTCAGAGGGAGGAACACAGATTGCAGGTGTTTGAGAATAGGGTGTTGAGGAGGATATTTGGGCCTAGGAGAGAATACGATGGGGCATGGAGAAAACTGCATAATGATGAACTTACAAATTTGTACTCCTGCCCCAGTATTGTCAGTGTGATTACGTCGAGAAGAATGAGATAGGCGGGGCATGTAGCGCGCATGGATGGGACAAGAGGTGTGCACCGGGTATTGGTTGGGAAGCCTGAGGGGAAGAGACCGCTGAGGAGACCTAGACGTAGATGGGAGGATAATGTCAGGCGGGATCTATGGGAGATAGGAGTTGAAGGAGATTGAATTTTATTGGCCCAGGACAAGGTCCGGTGGAGGGCATTGGTGAGGTCGGTGATGAACCTTCGGTTTCGGTAAGCCATCTAGTTAGTTAGTTATCCTGTGTAGGATTCTACCTGCAGTGGACAATGATTGGGCCAGCATCCACAGGACTGGCAGCTGATGACTTCTTCACAAAACTGAGAACTGGCAATGGGTGATCAGGAGTACCATGATCTGGCCAGTTTGTGTAGTGATATTGATATACGAAACGTTCAGCCATGACTTGCTTCTTTTTCTTAATCTGTAACACAATCTGTATGTCAATATCAAACCAATTTAAGTGAGATTATGACTATAATAATGCAACAAAACTAAATATAAACCAAAAATATTAAGGCTTATGGGAGTCGTATTAATTGAAGGATAGATTGACTCTGGAGGGAACTGAGAGGCACAGGCGAGTTAGGAGGAATAGATGTGGAAAAGTATTCTGCTGAAACAGATTAAATTCTGTATTACATTGACTGCACTAACAAAACTGAGATATAAAATTAATATGAAACTTCTGTACATGAATATCTATAAATACCTTACATACAGACTGAAACTCCCTCTTTATTATGGCGAGAGCTGCCATAAACATGTATATCTGTTCTATTATTGTAGTCTTACAGAACAATATCCCTGGCTTTTCACTACTAATTTAACTTAAATTCTGCTCGTTCAGACAGCCCATCTAGTAACAGCTGCTGATACACTGTGTAAGGGTGTAATAAAATTTCTAAAAATTTGATTGCACAGCTAAAATCTATGCCATTGCACACGTGCAAAATGGCAGCACACCTAGCACTGATGGGGTACAGACACATGATATTACAGCCAGACTACGTCAAATTGTCTGAAGACCTACGTGTGCAGATTTTGGTCAATCAAGATTTCATCCAAACTACAGACATGATGGACACTTCAGTCAATTAATATATGATGGTAACATATACAGTAATCAGCCAAGAGTGTAAGTACAGTAAGTAGTTGGGGTGATCCATGAATTCAACATCTGGGCAAGGGAATAAAAGGGGTGGGATGGATAGTAGATAAGGAAAAATATACTGTCCATACTATAAATTTTAGGGTACATGAATTATTTTGGATGTTTCCCAATATGTAACACTGAAAAAACTAAATGCATAGAGGTGTGTCAATACATTAGATATAAATTAAAAACTGTTATATTTCATGGTCAATTATCACACATATGCCTGAAATTATTTTGAAACGTGAGTATAGTTTTTATCAGCATGCATTTTTTAATGCAAAGCATGGTTCATTACTAAGTTATGTAGGCATATGACTTCATCAAATGAGAAATGTAATTTATGAAATAAACCAACATAATTTTATATTCACTTATATTATTATAAAGGTGTGTTATTACTCTGATACAGTTGTGGCTGCTCACCCGTAGGTGTCGTATCTGTAGAGTGCGAACTGTGTACGTTGCCATAACATCCTCCTTCACCAACTTCACTTGTATCACTCCATAAGTTTCCACCCCTTCTTTAGGCCAATACATATCACATTTTCTCTGAAAGAAATACACAGTGAATTAGTATGAAGCCCAGTTCATTCTTACACATACAAATCAAAACAATCACAAAATTTTAAGTTAGAGCATACCAAAATTGTGCAAACTTTTATTTAAAGTCCATAATATTACAATAAATTAAATTCTGAACATGTCTCTAGTTTTCACAATTTTAATAACAGCAATTAAGAAATATATGATCCAAAATTTTAAATATTTGGTAATTAAATAATATAGAAAAACTGTACAGACCTCTTATAATAACACAATAATATTGGCTTATGTTGGAACACACTGCCATATAAAAAAAGAAATTCCATTTACTGTACACATAGCACATATTTATAATGTTATTCTGTCCTGAAAGTAATATGTAACTATGCAGACATACCAGTTTGCAAATTATTTATCAAATAGTTTAATATCATTCAACAACACTTTCTACTGTATTATTTACATTTCTTTCCAAAGTTGCTGGATTTAATTACATTATTTCAAAATAAATTTTAGCAATGTCTCAACACTTAACAACACCTACTTAAGAATAAAACTGACATAGTTTTATATTGTGATGGAATTTTGAGTAATTTATTTGTGCAAACTGGTCAATATGTTACTTGGTACTGGTGGCAAGCAGAAAAGTCAAATTGGTTCAGCTACCAAGCTTTCCCACTGCTTAAAAACATGCAGTGCAAATTTATTTACAGCATTTGAAATAGTAGTTCCAAATACACTTTTTAATCCTCTTGGGTCCTTTCTAGATTATTTATGACACCTATGACAATTTCCAAAAATTTTCTACCTTAACTAGTTTTACATAGGGGCAGGAGGAATAGCATTTGGTATCTTATTTAATTATGCTTTCTTGACTGCACAGATCATGCCGTATTGAATGGTAAGACTATTTCATTTGAAATGTAAGGACACTGTACTGAAATGTGTGGGGATGAAATGTTTTACAAGTGTCTAAAATAAGGAAACTACTGGTGAAGATACAGTCTCTTGACACAGAGGTAGGGTTACTGATGATGTTAGGTTTAGGTGTCCCGTTCTGGTAAAAATATATACAAAGAGGCCGTTTTTATGAATTGCAAAGAGGTTAAATCTTCTCTCTCAAATTATAATAATTGAGTTTATTTATGATTTCATGGTCATTATAAGTTACAAAGAATAAGGGTTTAGAAATACTAAATTGTTTCTACGATTTTGTTTTAGAACGCAAGCATAAATTCAAATTTCCAAAGCTAGCTCACCATTACCAACCAACAGTAAGATTCAACTGTCTGAGTAACACCACATTCAGAACTTACACTTCCAAATGCCAGCATAAAAGAATTGAAACTTTTCTTTTATATCAAGCAATAATCATACTGGGACATCTCGCTCTCATCATCATCATCTGAAGAAAAGTTATTAGCAAATCAATCTCTTCATACAATACAAGACAAGACAGAAACACATCTGATGGCTATCATTTTGGCTTGGAGGTTACACATCCATAATGTGCAATTATGCCATGTCAATTATGATCCAAGCTTGACACTTTCATGTCAGTCTCATGCCCACACATCTTGTATCTGGCATGCCTCAGATTAACCTTTGTTAACTCAAACTAGTTCAACTGGGGTGTCATTCGGAGGCCATTATGTTGCACTGAGCAAGCATTCAATTGCAAAGAACACAGCGAAAGAAAAGCTAGGTAAGGAGAGGTCACTTCTACGGGCAACTACAAGCAATCAAACATCACAGACTGGCTCACGGGATTTTTTGGGATCATGGGAAACCAAGGCACACAGAAAGAGATAGAGTGCTCAAACAAAATACAGTACCTCCAGACATTGGGATGCAAGCTTAGGCTGTCTTTTAAGAGTTTCCTATCGGACAGCATGAACGAGAAAAGAAGAGAATAACACCTATCAGTTGCTTTTGCTTGTTTCTAAATGTAAACATAAGTGCACTCCTGTTTCATACAAACTAAAAATTATTTTTAATTTTGATACAATAGTAACTACTCATGTATACCATACACAATGTCTGTTGATGGGGCATAAATACAGTGGTCCACTGGTACAAAGCGGTATGACTTGATAACCTGCTAAAAAACTGCGCAAACATCTAACTGGGCATGCATAAACTCGTCTCCTTCACTAGCTGCATAGTGCGTGAGTCTGGTAAAGTAGATAAAACAGTTCCAACCATATCCTAATAATTCATACCTGATGTGCAAAGCCTTTTCATGAATTTGACTTCGTCAAAAAATATTCTATTACAAACAATTTCTGTAATTCACATGCCATCTCCATACATGTTAAGAAGATAATTTTTCTATTATGCAAACTGCTAAATGATACAGCATGCAAGAAAAACCACCACAAACAATGCCTATCGAAGTGAAGGAATTCAAACTACACTGATAAAAAAATTAAAAGAATGATCCGCAGCTGTGTGACAGGAGACCACTGTATAAAACATATCAATTTCTGAGTCAAAATGTTGAAGCTAATGATCTACGATTTTATTTTTTTAAAGGAAGTGGGAAACATCACCAAAACAGGTATAAAGTTCCAGCTATTGAACCAAAGGATTACCGACTCACGCAAAGTAGTGAGGGGTTTGTGCCATGGTTCAATATTCCAAATTCTGTGCCCCTGTCACATGACAATTTGTGGCAGTGATATACAGTACAGATACAATGACATAAAATTTGCAAATAAGGGCACCAGATATTTCGGTATGGTTTGTCCCTTCCATTTTCACAAGTATATACAACAAGGCCATAACCCTGATAAATGTTTATGTGGTTGCGCATTCAGTCCTCATCTCATGGATTACAGTCAGTCAGTCAGTCAGGTAATCAAGGAATCAGTGCCTGAGAATCACAATAATAAATAATTTTATAAATGAGATAAATGCTAACACTGATCCTACTTCTGAGTGTTAACAAAAGTAGACTATTTTTCTAATGTCAGAAAAACATGCTGCCTCTATCTTCACAGGCAAACCGTGTCACATTTTGCCTTACGATATACGCAGCATGTTCCTCGAAAATGGCAGAAACACTGCCCATGCCTACGTGGTACCAACCCCTAAAAGCAGGATCAACATTAACATTCAATCAGTGAGAAATTTTGACAGAAGAGTTAATTGCACTTATGAAACTCCTTTATCCAGGAGTATCTCATCATCATCATCCTTTCCTGTATTAGGCCATGAGGCCTGTTACGGTCTTGTATTTTCCATCCATCTCTTCTGAGGTCGGCCAAGAGATCTTTTCCCAGCAGGGCGGTATTCCAAAATTGTCTTTGGGAATCTACTGTTGGTCATTCCATCCACATGATTTGTCCAATTTTGTTGATATTGCCAAATGTAGTTCATTACAGTAAAGTAAAGTTTGTCCCACTATACGCCATGTAGGCACTTGGGGGGAGTGGAGGTATAGCTCCTCTCTTCCTTGACCTCGGCACTAGATGTTCATTACAGTTTCCATCTGAAGTTCTGTCATAATGTCCTTATTTCTCATGTGGTCAAGTTTGGTGTATCCCACAGTTCTTCTCATGAATCTCATTTCACAAGCTGTTATTCTGCTAATATCCTGTTTTTCTTGAAGTCCAAGCTTCGCTTCCATATGAGAGGACAGGTCTCGCGAGAATGATGTAGAGGCGCAAGCGGGTATGTTTCTGAACATGTGAGGGCTTGAAGACATTATTGATGATACCCACTATTTTCGTGTATTTATTAATTTTTTGTGAAATATCCCTTTCGTCTTTAAAGGCTAAATTATATCGCAAATAATTAAATTCATTCACCCTTTCCAGAATTTTATTGTCTATTGGTATCCAGGAGTATCTCATTCCCAGAAAAAACAACACTGCGAATGACAAGAAAATATATGCACCACCGCACAAAGACCTCGCAGTCATATCTTCCAACTACCAAAATCTTTATTATCTACTAACACAGTCGAAGTGTGCGGCTTACAAAAATATATGGCATGTAGAGTTTACGCTTTAAACAATAATTACAAATTAACAAAGTACACACATTAATGAAAATGAAAGGGACAATTATATCTGTAGCAAGTGGTGCTCATCAAATAATAATTTTAACTTTGCGAATGTTGTTCGTTACTCACCCTTCCACGCTCCACAAGATTAGTAATCATCACGATGATTGCCACACGCTGTTCCCAAACCATGCGCCAGAAACAATCAAATGTTGCAGGAAGTGGTCCCTGAGTACCAATGTATGCCCGTGATCGCTGGAAACCATCGATGTAGTTGGCATTGACATAATCAATGGACCGTTTCTGTCCAGGAACTGGCAGTAGCTGCACTCGGCTGTGATCATCTAAAATATCGCCCAGATACAGATGTGAATTTAGTTTGGTACCAACACACATTAATTCTTACGCACATTTTATCATATGCTATGATTATTTACCTTCAGTAGTAGTTAGAAAGTGATATTTATTTCGTAAGATTTGAGGTTTTCACGGCGGGGAGTATGAAGATTTCTGTCTTCTGGGTTGTTGCGCTGGGTAGTCTGGTCGATGTTAACCAACGTTTCAGAGGTCATACTGCCTCCGTCATCAGGGCGATGAATATTCATATTCATCGTCCTGATGAAACGTTGGTTAACATCGACCAGACTACCCAGCGCAACAACCCAGAAGACAGAAATCTTCATACTCATCGCCCTGATGCTGGAGGCAGTATGACCTCTGAAACGCTGGTAAACATCGACCAGACTACACAGCGCAACAACTCAGAAGACAGAAATCTTCATACTCATCGCCCTGATGCTGGAGGCAGTATGACCTCTGAAACGCTGGTAAACATCGACCAGACTACACAGCGCAACAACTCAGAAGACAGAAATCTTCATACTCATCGCCCTGATGCTGGAGGCAGTATGACCTCTGAAACGCTGGTAAACATCGACCAGACTACACAGCGCAACAACTCAGAAGACAGAAATCTTCATACTCACCGCTGTGAAAACCTCAAATCTTACATGTATGATTTTTATTATTATTTTCTTTATCCATCACCTGTTGAAAGTCTTTAAATTGTCATACTTACATGCTAATATATTCAGATAGCGATTTTTCTGCTTGTTGTCAGGGTGCTGCGAATGTTCTGATGGATATTCTTCTTGTGTGGAAGCTGCCTGAATTGATTCGTATTCCTTGCTGAAGCCAATGTCTCCATCCGCATGAAGTTCAGACACGTGTTTTGAGAACAAGTGAACAGGAATGGCTGTTTTAACACCGCCATTCTCTGCTCTGGCATCCCAGTCAACCAGCGTCGGTGGAGGTGCTCGTGGAGGATCATCGAGGTAATAATATGCCGCGTGGAAACATTTCCTGAAAATAAGAGTGGTAGTATGTCACCATAACCAATAAGAACTGGAATGATGAACTGTCAGTTCTAATCCCGGATAACAGCAGCAGCTCGGACAGCCCAGTCAGTACAGCAGTACAGTGCCCGACTACGGACTGGATGACTGGGGTTCGATCCCTGGCAAATGCAAAGGATTTTTCTTCCAGCCTCATGTCCAGACTAGCTCTGGGGGTACCCAGTATCCTATCCAATGGATGCTTTAGTTCATTTCCTTTGGGGGCAAAGTGCAGTTGGGACATGATGCTGACCAGTCACCCCATCCAAGATGGAAAATGATTGTTCATTCTAAAAACAAAATGATATAGAGCAGTGGTATTCAACCTGGGGTATGTGTACCCCCTTATATACTATGTATAACTTGAATTATACAACTTTGGGGGTACAAAGTTGAAGAGAAATTATATCTGGGGTATGCGAACAATAAAGGTTGAATACCACTGATATAGAGCACACCTTGGAACCTATTCTTATCAACAAAACTGTACTTATGCAATATATTCAATACAAATTGCAACAACATGTCAAAATAATCAGCATATAAAATGTATCATGTTAAAATTTACTGGCACTGGTGCTGGTGCTGGTAAGTCCACATTGTCAATAACTGTCACTACTTTGATTTACTCCTTCGTTCTGGACACAAGACACAATCTGAAATGTTCCACAAAACTGTCTTCACTGCTTAAAGAACATATCTCCGTGTGCTGACTGAGGTGGAGATATTGGTAAATGGTGGAGAGAGCTTCTAGGTTTTCACTCTATCTGGAGATACACAATTACACATTTCCTGCATGAAACAGGCTAATCTTATCAATGTGTTCACAACTTTGCTTCCTTTTTCCTAGATCTAATCAAAAAGTATTAAAATTATGAAATACACAAATAAAAGACATGGTATTTAAAAAAGAAAAGTACTTCACCTTGTATGGAATGAATATTTTTTTTGTAATCAAAGGATCCTTGGATAAAATATAAGGGCCATGGTTACATAAGCTCCCCCCACCTCACAAATCACCAGTGCAATCCCTACCCTGACGATGGAGACAGTAAGCACATCTGAAATGTCGATAAACTTCCACCAGACTACATGGCACAACATCCTACAAGACAGCCATCTTCTTCGTATTTGCTGTTATGAGAATCTGAAATCTCACCAGTGATTTGAAGCCTTAAAAATCTGTTTCTCCTGAAGGAATTGTTTCACATTTAACAGCCAGATCATCTCCTACATCTTCTAGTTCTGACATCAAGTACGGAAGTAAATTTTTGCAAGTACGTCAAATATAAGCAAAATTATCTTCTGAAGAGTAATCTGAGAAATTATGGAAAATGATGCAAAATTACTATCAGTGTCAATGTTACGGTAACATTTTACGATTATTAGCACTTTTTAAAAAAAAATATTTTTGTTTTAGATGTAACATTTGTTGAAGAGTAGGTTAACTTCCAAAAGTTTTCATTATTTTGTGGCGACTCACCCTGATGACAGTTCTGGTGTCAGCACAGCCCAAGGTACACGCAGTTTTAAGCCACTTGCACAACGGGCGTGACTTCTATTCATGACATGGAAATTTTCAACTTCCAGGGTTCTCCTGGTGACAACAGGGGCACTACAAAGGACTGATCCCTCATCCAAGGAGTCCTACCAAAATTCTCAATAGTTTAGGTAAACTCTACAGTTGGAGACCAGTGTAGTGGAAATTGAGATAACTACAGACAGCTGTTACAAGGCGTGCTCTTGTGCTGTAATCACCATTTCTTATCCTGTTAAAAATCCCTTACCTCCAGAGTATAAAAGCGACCACTGCCAATAACAGGGCAAAAGAGGCGCACACGACACCAGCGATCATCCCTGCACTCAATTCCTTTGTACTGCTCTGCTTGAAGTTCTGAATCTTGTCACAATTTGGTTGAACGTGCACCTTCCGTAGTTCGGACATCTGGCCCAGCACATCTTCACGGCTAATGATGCTATGCGAAACTCCACGCAATTTAATCTCATATACTGTGTCAACGGTAAGGTTCGGTATCACCATCTGCAACATTACAAATTGTCATACGTAACTCTGTTTCCTGTACCAGGCATCTGACACAATTTTGTTAGAGGGAAAGCAAAATTCTGGATATGGAGATGTTTTTCTTGGTTTATCTTTTTAATATGGTGACCAGAGTCCATTCACCAATAGAAGTCTCTTTATATCTGTGAAATTAAAACAAATATTTTTGTTCATATTCATACGTACTTCAAGGCCTCTTTTTTTCTTGTTATGGTGATAAACCATTTAAAGCTGAATGGTACGTGTATGTATCAGCAGCTTTAACAATCACTGACTACGCATTTTGTATTGAAGGGTTTATCTCCTTAACATCTTGTATGATTTTTGTACGATTATAACACGTAACAACAGAACATAGAAAATAATTCCACTGGACAGATCATATGACAGACACGTAATGCTACTACCGGCCAGATACGAAAATAAAAGACTGGAACTCATTGATGCATGTGAAACTGATAAAGATAAAAGTTTAGTACCAAATTATGTACTAACAAATATGGTCAGAACTGTCATGTCTTTGCTTACCGAAGGTTCTGGATGATCTGCTAATGCTGAAATAACCAACTCTTCAAACTCCATGGACCTCTCATCACGATATAAAATAATATATCGGTCAATAACTCCGAAGTATTCTTGTGGACGCTGCCACTGAAGGTAAAGTGTATCGTGAGATTGGCAAGTTAGATTCACAATGCGCGGAGCACTCGGACCACTTATATCTGTCTTATGGCGGATGGCTTCTGAAGGATCGCCTTCATTCTTCCAAGTGAAAGCTTTCAACCATATCTTGTATTCGGTGTATGGTTCTAGAAAATACATACAAACATGACGTTTTACATTACCGCTGCATTACATGCTTTATCTCTGGACAATCCTCATATTTGAAATTAGCAAATATTGTTTAATTTTTGTTTTATTCCTATATTTATTTTAATGTATCTGTAAATGGTGGCGAAATTGGGGGAAAAGTAACAACAGGCAATTCTCATGAATTATCTAAATAATAATACAAATGTGAAAGGGAAATCTGTTAGGCACTTTCTGTGAATTATAAACTTCTGTAAAATAAATATTTCGGTTTAGGAACAAAATAAAGCGATGTACCACTGACACAGAAACAAAATTCTCAATTTTATCACACTTCTTGCAGAACTTACTCAGATCTTGGAGAATAAATTCAATGTGAGGGTCTGTCTTGCGAATAGTCTTCACGTCAGTATAGTTGGCATGCATATAGTACAGGCGGTATCCAATGATCTGGCCATTGGGTGGTTCTGGTTTATTCCATGACAGCTCGATGGATGAATGAGTGACGCGCAGGACTGTTACATTCAGAGGCTTACTTGGTACTGGAAACAAAACCACGTTAACAATTACCAGTGATCTTGAACAGTAACAACATTAAAATAAAATCATTCAGCCACATCAAAGGTTAGGTTTTAACCTGCCATAGACAGAGTGAATTACAATTAGGACCCAATTCAATGGAAGAACTTATAAAACATTCTCAGTCAGCCGTCAGTTCGATAAATATCGAGATTTCAGCGACCAGCTCCGCCATCATCATCAGGATTTGATACATCGTATTGACTTATCGATACTGACATCACAGCAGGGCAGGCTGATGAAAGAAACGAATGCCATTTCATAGCTCATTTGCATTGTGTTCCAAGTACCGTAGGAGTAAATGGGAAATAATGACTCTTAGCTCCGAGTTCATCATCCTGTGAAAGTTGTTATAGATCAAGCTGATAATACTCTTTGAGACAACGGGTGCGTTAAGTCTTTTGTCTGTCAGCCATCAGAGCGTGGGAAAAAAAAACCAAGTGTGGTGTGTGGTGCAATGACGTCACTCATTGGGATTTATATACCCGCTTCACACAGAAAATAAAATAATAAGTTCTCTTAAGTATCACGGCAAAATATCATATACTGAACGATAAAGAAGAGTTCTCAAAAACAAAACTCCAGTGCATGTTCTGTGACTGGCTGGCGACCAACAAACTAAATAACAATGTTACGGTCAAGTGGTTAATATTCCTGCTTCGTAGGTTTCTTTGATCGCTCCATGGGACCTTAAACTAGCCTACAACCGTTTCCTTCCACATACCTTCCTATTCATTAAGACTGTCTAGTCTGAGCTGCTCACAGCGTCTTCAAAAGGCAAATGTGTAAACTAAACTACTCCACCCGAGAGATGAAGACACTTTCTCACAGTTACTGAGTAAACAGCCAATAACATTGTTCCAAGGTTTTCTTGAGCACACAGCATTTATTCAACCAGTCAACAAATTCCTGGCTTTTACGAAACACACCAGTTTATTTCCGTGTTCACAGACCCCATACTAAGCAGAACCCAGTCCACACCTTCACATCACAGATCTCTTAAACATCCACTTCAGTACATTCCTCCCACGAAAGCAAGGTCTTCAAAGTGGTATTTTTACCAAAATTCTGTATGCGTTTCCAGTTTCTTAAACGCGTTACAAATCTCGCCCAACTCATTCTTCTTCATTTAATAACTTAAACATTAAGCAAAGAGTGCAACGCATGAAGCTTCTTATTATGTAATTGTCTCCATTACATGTTCTAAACACTTTTCCTTAGCAATTTGTTTTCTGAAACCCCCAATCTGCGATCTACTAGAATAACTAATACATTTACAAGGCTAAATATAGTTTTAAACATTTTAACTTAAAGTCTTGTTGAATAGGATTAAAAAACAACAACGAAAGTTAGCCCGCATTTCAAGAATTTAATCTGATCTCATTACACCACGAGATCTTTTAAAAATAAAATAATAAAAATCGCGGATGTCACTTTACAGAGACGACTATCTTACAAATTCATGAATAAAACAAGTGGACTGTGAGGTACACGTGAATGATAGTGCAACAGAAGACCCCTTGTTTTCAGCAACAGTCCAACTTTCACACGATTCCACTCATGGACAGGTTGCACAATGTAGATGGAAGTTTGACACACAATGGTACCACCTTTCCTGTTCTAGGCGTATAGTTCTCAATTCTAATGCCAATTGTCTGACGGTTGGTATGAAGTATCTACCGCCGGAGGATAAGAAAATATCACAAACGCTTGTAACAGACAAATACATCATCACATTTTCTTCCAACCTTTCGGTGCTGGAATATTAATTCTTTTCTGCAGTACACTGGAATTAAAACAGAAGTAAAATTTACAATACGAGTACACCCATTGTTAAAAATCACATTGGCTTGGTCCCGCTCCTTTATTCTATTATTTTCAAATTTTTCACTCTCACATTATCTTATAACAAATTTGTCAATTGTTAGGGTCACTACTCAAAGTTCTTTTGCAACGGAAACTGTTTTTAACAAAGGGCACTACACTTAACCTACTATTGTTACCAATTTCTGCTTCCAAGTTTCATATATAAGTTAATTGATATGCTTTAATTGACTACTGAAATATAATCAATTGCTGCCAATAATGAGACATTAACAACTGTTCGATTTTTTAATTTTATATAATCATTACATTCAAAGCCTCGCGGCACGCCGGTAGACAAGCTGCTGTGATTGGTGGCCTTTTACGGCACATGCGACAGACAGGCGCGCCATGCAGTGGTTAACACTAGAACTAACACGGATCGTTAATTAGCACAGCTACTCAGTAACTGGCCAACAGAACGCTTTGTTATAATACACGTGTGCAGACGTGCAGATGACAATATTCTTTTACAGTTAAAAGCATCGCCCTCTCATATGGACGAACTCGACACAATACAACAGCCATTCACGTTCGACTTCTCATCCAATAGGAAATCTTTCCTAAACTCCTCCATTAGTTTAGGATAGACAGCGACACATTAATTCGTCTTAGGTCAACTACAGATAACCTTCTGGAGTGATTGAAGTACTATGACGTTTCACAGTCAAAACCACAAGGATGTGAGGGGCACAGCAGAGACAGAAAGAGAGCATACCGCAGGCTGGCGATAGGGTCGATGGAATAGCAAGTTGTAGAAAGCATTTCGTCAACAAGGGCGAAATCTTTCATGCTTAGTTTCAATTGACAAACGCTCCAATCCTGAAAACACGCCTTCGACCCTTTTTTGAGTCTTCTTTTTATTCTCTTATCTGATACCGAACCCAAAGCTTTTAATCTGTTATCAAAACAATGAATGGAAGACCTTGGAGGAATATCCACGCCAGGGAAATTTTGTTGAAATGCACGATTAAAACCGTTTTTTACGTAACTCGCAGAACGAAATGCGTCTTCCTACTACAGACTCACCATCTTGAACACTATCCTGCAGAATCGGGTCACCCGAACAGCAAGAAAGACCCTGTCTGATAAGGACTGTGGCCGCAGTGGCGTTACGTCGTAAGGTTCCGAATGCATAACAAACCCATACTAAGAATTTGGCACGAAATTTATCCACTCAAGATTGCAACTGCCAGTTTATGCTTTAACAATACTAATTAAGTGGTCCTAACTGTGGCGATTTCATAAAGGAGGCATCAATAAGCAGAAAAGCCAAGTATATAATTAGTAATGCTGATGAACATTTGCTGCTGTTAAGTGATTTTGGGCCTTATGTGAAAATATCTATTTGTGTGTGTGTTGTTATAACCGTTGCCACGGCATGATGACTTGCTGACAAGGGATTTTGGACTTTATCGGACAATATAACAGTTGCCACTGCAGTGCTGTTAATAGAGGCCTACAATGTGCATGAACTTCTACACAACGAAGCACAGTTATTATAACCTCGATATGAGACCATATTTGAGACTGCGGTTTCGCTGTTTTGTGACAAAATGCACTGAAATAAAATACTCCTCTCTTGGCAGGCAATTTTCTAGTATGCGCAGAATGTATGAAGGAAGACCTATCAGTCTCGTGGAGGAAAAACGCTGCTGGCTTGCATTCCGGAAATACTAAACTCCAATCTCGGCTGGGGTACCACTTATTCTCACAAGATTTTCGTCGATTCACATCTCGAGAGACGAAGTCTGTGATAGAACTGAAACCAACATGGCCACCTCCTTGAAGTACCTTATCTACTGACCATTCACGACAATATTTTCATTGAATCCGACGTCTTTAGATAAATTAGGAATCAAACATAACCTAACAAGGAATTTCGGTGCGGTGTTTGAATATGGCACATCGTTTACAACGCGGTGTAGCAAGCTTTAAGACTACTTATCTCACAGCTTTATCTAAAGTTTTATAAGAGCATGGATTTGAGACTTTCGCGGCGAGTACAATCGATAAAATCTTCTCGGGCAATCAGCCGCGTTACACAAAACTTCTTACAGGCTACAGGTCAATAATGTAGGGATGCAAGAACTCTTCCTACACGCAACATCTGCCGATCCAAACATTTTAAAACCGAAGTTCGTCTGAATAAGCTTACGGATTCAGTCCGTACCGCAAAGAAAACACAAATATTCACAATTACAAAGATAAACTGGTTAATGCTGTTTAACGAAATAATAGCTGTTTATAGTGAGAATAATACCCATAAAAACAAAATGAAGACTTACTGATTGTTGAAGCATGTGGGACATTTACCGTAGGGCTTAAAGGTTTAATAAATGAGTGAGATCTGAGGTTCTCACAGGGGTGAAGATGTCGACTGCGACATTCTCGATTATTACGCCCCGAGGTCTTGTAGGCGATAACCTAAGTTTCGGAGGAACATACTGTCTCCATCTTCAGGGTAGCAGACGGAGGTAATACGTTCCTTTGAAATGCTGTAAGCCAGCTATCGGCGTCACAATTCAAACGTCTGCAAGCCGTAAATAAAAGACTGATCGAATAATCGACTGGATGACTCAGTAACTGAGCATCCAACCAATCGAACATATGGTGCATTCTCTCACGAGGAACAGACACTTATTCAGTTCTAAACAGAAGAATCCTCGAAGATCAATTGCAATGCACATAAAAACCCCTATCAACTTTGAGGTTACGACAGGTTCAGCCGAAATTAACATGGTCAGAAGACCGTCAATGATGAAAAGTTTGGAATGCGGAGAAATTGACTGTAACATATTTCGAGTGACTACCCTGCAATATGACTGGAAATAAATATTTAAGACAGCTCAGCTGGAGTTGGGCAGAAATTCCGGCAGCGAACTTCAGACTCTTTACCACTGGGACATCTAGTTCGGTGTTGGCGGGATGGCAATGGAGTATACGCGTTTTATTCTAGATACGTGGACTTCGTTATGGGCGCAGTTTTATCAAGGCAACTTCAATGATGTCAGCGTATGGTTAGCACAGACACGACTCAACGTGTTTCAATTGAGATGCTAGGCATTATTTCTGTTCCTTTAAGGAAAGAAAAAACATA